ATGTAATAGTCTTTGTCTTAGATCTTAAGGTTAAAAAAAAAAAATAAAATAATTAAAAATAGCATTCATCTAAAACATAACAGTTATAAAAAAAAATTTTTTTTTAATTTTGTACTTTTAATTTTTGAATTTATTTATTTATTTGCAATTGCATATTTTTTATAATTAAAAAAAAAAAAATTTAGTTTATTTTATTTTTTATGTAAAAATATTCCAATTTTAAAAATAATTGTTCATTTGATGAAACCTATCTTTTAATAATTCAATAGACAATTACAAATAAAAATTTCACAATCGATACTATCCCCATTAACAGTACAATCAACTGAGAACTGAGGTGCCCAATTAAGCAATTTTAGTCTAACTGCCCCTTGGAATATGATTTGTTTTTAAACTTATTGGGGTTGATCTAATCGCCTGACATGTTTCTGAAAGTCGCTTCCGCTCATTATAACCTTGGTACTGAGAACTAAACTGCATATATCGTGCGCGACGTATAAAGAACAACCCTCTATTGTGCTTTTGGGCGATGACTTACAAAACACCAGGTGGCTCACGTAACGTTATTCACCAGAGCGAGATGTCATGTAAATTCCGCGTGCTCCTCTGGGGCTGTCTCTGTGATCCGCACAAGCGATTAATGCGGTGCGGCTGCGAAATTGCATGATGGGGTACGTCGGGCTGATTGATGGCGAACGAATTTTGATTTTCCTGCTCTCTGTGTGTATATTTATTTCGAAAGCACCGCTCACGTGACCCACTTTACCCGCAGCAAATTTAAAATTTACACACTGCACGTCGGAAGAGCGGCAATTTATCACGGCACGATCCGCAATTTATCGCTTCCCGATCGAAACGAAACCGAATTTACTATTATCGCTGAGGTGCAAGCGCGCACGCTAATGATATCGTGGGGATGTTGGAACTAACTACGGGCACCAACTGATTACTGCACGTGTTAATTGCGATTGCAAACAAAGATAATTGGCACGGAATCAAAGGATATTGCGCAAGGGCAATGTAAAAAGTGTTAAACGCTATTGTTTACTTTTTATTATTTAATCAATCTGTTTTATCATTTTGTTGTTCAAAACCTTTCAAAAAAATAATAAAACAATAATTTCTACAATCGCCTCGTAACGCAGGCAAAAGTTTTATTAAATAGAGCTAATAAATTAAAGTTCATAGTATAAACTTCAATTAAACTCTATTTAATAAAACTTTTACCTAACGTTATGAGGTGATTGTAGAACTTATATAGAATGACAATAACTGCTGCTTTTTCTCAATTTCGTAAACCTGCGACTGAAAATGAATAAATTTAATTCGTTCAGTATTATTTTTTAATTAAAATTCACGTTTAATAGTGTTCAATACTCTCAGAAATTAAACTCGTTCTTTATTTAAACTATATGGGCTTCTGTAAATTAAGACAGCAAAATAAGTATATTAGCAACTGCTAATTTCTGCCCCTATCAATTTAACCGTTAATTTAATTTTCTCCCAGTTGAATTGATATAATGTGGAATTGCAAGGCAGTAACAACATAAGCAATAATTGTAGAGATGTTCTGCAAAAAGAAAACATTTTTTTTAAAGTAGTTTATAACATAATTTTAAATAATCAGTACCTGAGCCAGAAAAGTTTTATTGATGGAAAACATGCCGTAAATGGAAAATTCGCATTTTTCATTTAACATCACTTGCGTTCTCCATTCTCTGACCTGCTGATAAATTTTTGTGTTTAATTTAATGTCAGTCATCAATTAAACGTCGAATAAAAATACCTGAAATGCGATTTTTCGCTCTTTATATTCTAGCTTCCATAGGTATTTGCTTGTCTTCCTTGCCTAAATTCAAAATTAAAATTTTTTAATTATTCAAATATATTTATTTTATACTTCAGTAATTGTCCTATCGCATTCAAGGCACAGTAAGACATTGCTTAAGCAACTTCCAATCAACCAAAAAGTGCTGGAAATCACATGGAAAAAAGGTTGAGAATCGTATTCCAATCCGCCTATTAGTATGAGCGCATAGTAGCTCGAGGTGGTGGTGTTAATGAAGTTCATGCAGAGGGTGGAAATCAGCATGCCTTGGAAATGCTTGCTAACCGTGAGGATTAGATCACACGCGTCACGATGCATTTTAACCAAGAAGTCTAGGTTCATCATTGACATTTTATTCGCCAAGATATTCTGAATTTGTTCATTTATTGCGAGAAGAATTTGGCGAATAGAAAATACAACCAGATGCATTCTTAAATCCATCAACCAAGACAAGAGGTTGACGCAGAAATTTAACAATAGCGTCGAATTAAAATTCCAACTGAAAAACTCCTCAAAACACAGCAGGCTAAACAAAATTGCGGAACAAATCACCGTCCTTTGCGTTCTTCTGGTTAAACAATGAAAAAATGCAGTTTGGTTAAAATAAGGATGGTTTGACATTCTGTCAATGCTTTTCAAAATATGGTCAAAGTCTTTCCACTTTTTGTTTGCGGAAAAGTACGATATTGCAATGAAGATTCCACAGGCCTGAAAAAAACTTTTTCAATCATTACTACTTAAGGTTTTATGTGTTGGAATACCTGATATGGAATTGACGCCAATAAAAGAATTGCACTACCAGAAGGCCTTGTGATGAAAATTTTGAGCATTGTCAGTGCTGCAAAAACTATCATTGCTCCTGAATTTGCAAAAGAGTAAAACAGATGGGCCCAGGAAGAACTTTGATCAGCAAATCCAAAAATTTTTGTCAAAAATCTTAGAGAGGCTAAGGCGCACGATAGCGACCCTATGGGCCGCTCCATAGCTTATTGTGTGACAACTGCTTGTCATTTTGTAGGATCACAAAATACACCTTCTATTCACCAGCGTGAATTATTTTGATTGGCATTTTATCAATATTACTGCGGCTCGCACTTTTGTCGTGAAATTTATTGCAATTTTAGTCTATTGATTGCGTCAAAAGGTTATTTTACTAATAAATTGTGTCTTTGTGGAGCTATAAATTGACTATTAGAAAAGATAAAATTATTTTTGTTTTTCTACTGAGGAAATATAAAAAAAAAAACACACACAGTTCAATAATCTACCGTATAATTGTAAGATAATTTTTAGGAGAGCAATTAAATTTTTTCCATTTTATTTAACCTTTGAGATTAATTTGTATTGAAGTTACGATAATGCTGGTGAGGTTATTCAAATTACAATGAAGACGGGAATGTATAATTTTTTTTATCAATATTTATGAAATATATATTTATTTCTCACTGCACAAGTTTTGTTCTCTCTTCAAGGGAAAGAATAAAGAAGCGTTCAATATAAATGCACTTTTTATTCTATGAAATATATGTTTTGTTTTACTGATTGCCTGCCATTTGAATTGATATTATGTGGAATTGTAAGGCAGTGAAAATATACCCAACAATTGCAACAACGCTCTGAAAAAAGAACAAGTAATTAAAAGAGATTTCCGAGATTTCATTATCAAAGCAAGATTACCTTAGATAGAAAAGTTTTATTGACGGAGAAAAGGCCATAAACGGAAAATTCACATTTCTCATTTATCATCACTTGCGTTCTTAGAGCTCTGACCTATATCGATTCGATTTATTACTTTTTCGATAAAAAAAAAGAAATTTAAAAGCTTTTACTTGATAATCTATTTTTATCTCTTTGTATTCCAATTTCCATAGCAATTTACTTGTTTTTCGTACCTATTCCAAATTTCTTAAAATGATTATTTAAGGTAAAATAAATTTTTATTATTTGTTACCTCATTAATTGTCTTGTCGCATTCAAAGCAAAGCAAGATGTTGTTTAAGCAACTTCCAACCATCCAAACCAAACTTGTCAATGCAAGAAAAAATCGGCGAGGTCTATTTTCTAATTCACCCAGCAAAATTAGGGAGTAATATGTTGCCGTGACGACATTAATGAAGTTTGTAAAAAGGGTGGAAATCAGCATGCTTTGGAAATTCTCGCTAACTGCCAGGATTAGTTCACAAACGCTGCGATGCATTTCAACCAAATAAAGCAAGTTCGTTTCCAAATCTTTCACTGACGAATTTTTATCACCTTTTATTATTTTTATTTCTTTGTTAATTTTTTCGAGTAGTAAGCGAATTGAATATATGATCAAATGCATTCTTAAATCCATCAATCTTCCCAAGAGACTGACAAAAGTATTCAACACAAGTGTCGCATTAAAACTCCAAGATGAAAATTGGTCGAAAAGAAGTACAAGAAATATAATCGATGTAAAAATCATTATCCTCTGCGCCTTTTTGTTTACGAGTCGAAAAAAATCTCTATTTATAACTGCACGGTTAGCTAATTCGTCCAAGCTTTGCAAAATTTGGCCATAAAAGTTCCTTCTTCTGTTTGTAGCTAACAATGAAATTGAAAGAAATGTGTTACATCCCTAAAATGGCAATAATTTTGGTAAGTTGTCTACCTTTAAATTACTAAATGAATACCTGGAACATAAATGTGGCCATTGAAAGGGCTTGATTTGTATTCACTTCTAAGTTCAAGAAAGCTGAATAGATCCAAGTGTGTGTTGAAAAAACAATCAAACCCCCAGAACTGGCAAAACAATAAAGGAGATGCATCCAGGAAGAATTATGTTCTGCAATTCCGCAAATTTTGGTCAGAAATCGAACAGGAGCCAAAGCCCAAGATATTGACTCCTTCGGCCGCTCCATAGTTTTGAAAGAAAATTCCAGGCTGACTTTTCGTTTGGCATTTAATCAAAAAGTATTATTTTGCTACTCGCCGTGAAGAATTCATTATATTAAAACTGATATTATGCAGACAAACATGAGTAGATTGAGTGAATATATTTTTATCGCAATGTTGTCAAGCACTTTTATTTTTAGCGTCCACTGAGCTATTCAATAGGGTCGCAGACCGGGACCGAAACTTCTTCATAGAGCCATTTCGTTTCGTTTTCTTTTTATTAAAATTTTTCTCAACAATGATAAAGCCTGTTTTCATCAGTTCTTCATATATTAAGGATTAATTGTGATACATTTTATAAATACGTCTGGACTCTCGAATCAAGAATTGAAATTTCAAAGACTTCAAATTTCGGAGTAAAATTTTACGCCAGATTGCATTTTATAAATCACCCATCTAATGCACATTGGTTTTAATTGCCTGACAATTGCATTGATATTATGTGGAATTGCAAGGCAGTGAAAATATAGCCCACGATTGCTGTGAAGTTCTGAAAAAAATATTGTTAATTTAAATGTGATGAATTAATTGAATTTCAAGTAAACATACCTGAGCTAGAAACGTTTTGTTGAAGGCGAACATACCGTAAATGGAAAATTCGCATTTCTCGTTTATCATCACTTTTGTTCTCAGTTCTCTCACCTGGATTAATTCCAATAATTTAATTTTTCACATAATAAAATTAAATGAATACAAAATTACTTGATAGTCAATAGTCAATTTGTTGCTCTTTGTATTCCAACTTCCATAGTAATTTACTTGCTTTCCTAGCCTAATTAAAAATAAGATTAAAATCATATCGTAACTTAAATTATTTAATCACAAATGAAAATTTTCACCTCAACTATTGTCTCGTCGCACTCAAAGCACAGCAATATATTATTTAAGCAACTTATAATCAACCAAATCAAAGTGACAAGGGCATGAAGAAATCGATGTGGATCATCTTCTAATCCACCCAGCAGAAGGAGCACATAGTAGCACGTAGTGGTGGTGTTAATGAAGTTGGAAAAAAGGGTTGAAATAAGCGTGCCTTGGAAATGCTTGCTAACTGCGAGGATTAGTTCACAAGCGCCACGATGTATTTCAACCAACGATAGCAAGTTTGTTTCCAGATCTACTTTTGCTTTGGGCTTTTCACCATCATTAATTACAATGTATTGGATTTCTCCGTTAACTTTGACAAGAATGCGGTGAATGGAAAACACGAATAAATGCACTCTTAAATCCATTAGCCCTCTTAAAAGATTCACATAAAAATTAAGCAGAAAAACCCACTGTAATTCCCATATTGCAAACACACAAAGTATTATAAGAAATAAAAGAAACGTTAAAATTATAGTCCTCTGCATCTTTTCCTTTAGTTCTTGATAGTAAGTTTTGCGATCTAATTTGACAATATTATCAATTCTTTGCAAAATTTGGTGAAAAAATTTCCTTTTTCTGTTCATGAGCAATACAGAAATTGCAATAGAGACACCGCAAGCCTGAAAATTGTCATCAGTAAAACTCTTCTAATAATTTTTTTATATACATCACCTGGTAAAAAAAGAAGCCAAAAAGATAGCCTGGTTTTGATTCAGCTCCAAATTGTTGAAAACCGAAAGAAACACTTGTGAGGTAAAAACAATCAATCCACCTAAATTGACAAAGCAATAAATCCGATGGACCAGAGAAGAATTATTATCCTCGATTCCGAAAATTTTAGTCAGAAATCTTAGTGGAGCCAAGACGTTGGCTATTGACTCCTTAGGTCGCTCCATGGTTTTGTGCGAAAAACACTTCTTTATTGTAAGTACTCCGCCAATTTGGACTTTCCGCTAGACGGTAAATTGATAAGTCTAATTTCCATAAATTTATCACAATGAAACAAAAATTGTGCATAAAAGCGAAAAGGTTACAAAGTGTTATTGGAAGCTCAATTTTGGGTATATTGATTTCGTAGAAAGGACGGAGTTTGCAAATCCATTTTACCTCGTCCATCAGCCAGTGTCTCTAATTTACGCGAGCACAATAATTGATTATTTCAAAACGCCGCAAATTAATTTCATAGCTGGGAAATCATTAAAACGACTGCTCGGCCATTAATTTCGAATCAAATATTCAAAAGCAAATGATGCGTAAATTATACAGTTGTTTATATGCATGGGCAGTAACACTAGATTAATCATCAAATATGTATGTAGAAATGGGCCAACCAAGCACACATGTAGCTGTTTTGGCGACGCAAAAAAAAATACACACAATTAATCCAATTAATCTACTGAAAAGAAGTTGATTGTGTCTAAATAAGACTAAATTAAGGAGAAGGATTAATGAGACAAATTATTAAACAGAGTTGTTGAAGTTTTATTACTCAGTATTATTTTGCATTAAATGGAATTGTTTCAAAATTTAATGTCATGATGATCTTTTTTATGCTCAAAATGGCAGTAATAAAGTTCAATGTAAATTACACTATAAAATCAATTCTAAGAAGTGAAAAACCGTGAAAAACGACCTTATCCTTGTTGATAAATATGTTTTTTATTCAAAAAACCAGACTACTGGGCTGTTACAATATTTCGTGAGCTCGATGAGAGGAAAATAAAAAGAAAATAAGCAAAAAAAAGTGAAGGTCTCAATTTAGTAATTGCAAATAATGCAAATTATTCGTTACTACTTTCAGATTTTATATGCATACAAAAATTAATAAATTAAAATGCCTACAATTCTTGAATTTTTAGCAAATTGGAAATAAATTATTATTTTTTTAATGGTAAAACTTAAAACCCAATAAGTCTTCAAAAAGGTGTGATAAAAATAATAACCCAAAATAATTATAGAAAATAATCTGCAATTTAGATCTAGATAAAACGATTATAAAAGTGCAGTAAAATTCTAATTTCTTTCATTTCGTCCCAGCTTGAAGAATTATAATTTAAAATAATTTCCTTTCTTTCTAATGTAAAATAATGTAGAACGATATTTTTTATCGAAGTTATGCAACCCGCTTGGCAGCAACAGGAGAAAAAGTTTAGTTTAAAATTCCACAACTCATCTCCCTCCACCCCTCCTTCATCCTCACCAATAACATGTCATTATGCATTTATTTTCTTTCAGTCTGCAAGTTTTCTTGCTCGATGAACACGTGTTTGGTGCGCGAGTGATCAGTGTTCGCGGAATCGGGTGAAGAAATTCGCGAAGTGGTGTGTGCGTGGATGGCGAGTGATGGATTACGTCGATTTCGCGGCTCATTTGCAACACGACGAGAGGGAACGGAAAATTGCAGAGGAATTCGTCGTTGATCTTTTGAAAGGTAGGACCTTTAACCTTTTTTTGAGTGACCGCGGTTAATAGGCGCGCCGGAGATGGACTTTAACACGTAAGCCCGGTCGCGATAGATCACATTCGCGATGGCAGGCCCAGATTGCCGGTCACGCAATCCCGTTTATTCGCCACCTGAATAAAACGCGAGGCCATTCCATATAATTTCTTTCGCCCTGTTTTGCCGGCGCGGCGCATTTTTACGTGATCTCTATTAAGAGCCTCCCTTGTGCGATTATCACACGAGAGACCCCTTATCAGATTTTGTTCCTCGCGCTGGCAGGGGCTTATTTGTTTAATAGAATATCGGGTGGGTCGGTCTCGGGGTCAAGGATATAAAGTAGAGCAGCCCCGCGACGACACCGAGCTGCAAAGGGGTTGCTTTGCTTGCCCACCGTTGTCATAAAATCCGAGCCACTCGACCCTTGATTGATTTTTTATACTTTATATATAGGGCAATTCTTTCCGATAGATTTGAAATCTATTCACAAAGAGAGAGGCTCAAGCATTTTATATTATGCCATATCAGATTTGATATCTTATAAAGATCTCTTTCAGCTGAAAAAAAAAGTGAAAAAAGCCAGTTTCTTCACTGTCAGCAATAATTGAAAAAAAAAATTCATTTTCCTTTTTTTTTTAAATCGATACTTTTGTTTGCAGATGAAGAGAAAAATATTATGCACAAGAAATATTACGCAATTGATTATTTTAATCATCTGCCGAATATACACGTTAATGTGTTGTAAAAAAAAACATAGTTTTTTTTCAAACCTTTTAAATCTCCATATAAAAATTTAGAGCGTTGAAATGTGCAAATTAAATTTAAAAAGTAATTGTAATTAAAATAGCAAATCTTTCAATATCCAAGTCAATTAAATATTATTGTTGGTTTAAGATATTGAAATTCCGATTTAGTCTCTGGGCTTGACAATTTTAATGCTAATTTTATGAGGGTATAAATTTACTGTTGATTCTTCTCAAAAAGAAAATGGAAATTAAAATGCATGAATTATAAAATTATCTGAAAATTTAGGGAATACAACAAATTGAAGTTTTATAAGTTTGTGAGTTTCTTTGAAGTTGGCTCCAAAACCGCAATTGAAAATTAATTTATCATTTAATGAATGTTTTAAGAAAATGCAAGAATATGAATTTCTGTGTTTCATCGGAAAACATGCTGTCCAAAGCACATCAAACACACTTTAAAATTTTAAAATTTCTAACTTAAAAGTGGTATAAGAGTTTGAACAACAAAAAAACACTATTTTCTCCTGATAAGAATTTTACGTCATTTTTTATTGTTGGTAATTTTCCCGAGTAAAATATATAATACACACTCTGCTGGCCAAATCACAAGGTCGAGCTTTTTTCCTTCGTGTATTCCATGATACGCACGCTATTAGCCTGCGCGTTTCTTGTACATTATAATTTTGGTCGCATTTGCAAGCCTAATTCATTATTGCTGGAATATAATAAAAGTCAAGGCCGCGGTGCGGGGATGTTATCAGCGCGAGAAATTATTTCACCCCTTGCTTTTCGTGGTCTATACATTTCAAGTCTTGCAAACCCTGTTTCACAAAGAAAGCCTAGGCTTCTCCAAACACATGAAAAATTCATGAGGCACTAGTATATTTACATTCAATTTTGTGCACGATTACGCACTCTTGGCAGGCAAATGCGTGCCCTACCTATATCTCTGCAAACGTATCAGCTGATATGGAAATTCGGAAGGAAAACTAATTTCAATCTACTTCAAAGGCAAAATGCAGTCTATTATACAGTGTTTGTCCTACTTTTTATAGAAATCCGGTCTTATTTAAAACATTTCTTAACAAATCTATATTTTTTATACCAATTTAACAAAAAAACAGCACAAAAGTGCTGCTCGTATTTTGATTTTCTTGAAAATCTTCCAAAATTATATAAATTCAGAGTAATTTGAGCTGCCAATTCAATTGGAAATCATAATTAAAATGTGTGCGAAAGAGCGAACTAAAATTAAAATGGAATTAATTAATATTAAAAGTTCAACAGTAAATGGACGGATCCTTTTCGTCATAGTAACTTTGAGGATCATTGGTTTAAAAAACGTTGGAATGCTTCACCTAATTACACGATATCGGACCAAATTCCGAGAAGTTCAATTTTTAAAAGGCTTTAGTATGGTCCTAGAGATTCTTGTTTTTCTACCATAGTAACTAGAGTGAATTACAAATAGCCGCCGTGGCTACTCTGAGAGGGGTACAAAGGCACGCCCATGTGGCCAATGTGGGCCCTCTGGGTTGGGTACATTTGCATCACTAGGCTGTTCGACTGCTCTCGGTTCTCGTACAGGTTTCGGGTGTCCTGAAATTAAAAATAGCATAAGTTTTTAATATAAAAATCATTTGTTGTGACAGTGATAAATATAATTTTAAAGAGAGAAAAAAAAGTAAAAAAAATGTGTATGTAATGAAAAATTAATTGAAAATGACCAGGACTTGAAATAGAATGAAATCACAAAAGATACAAATTATCTAACTCAGTGAAGATGCAAGTTGCCTTTTTTTAATTGTAAGATTTGTTATCTTGAATTTAAAATTATCCTTTGGTTTATTTTAGGTCTCTAATGAACAAACGTAATTTAACACAAATTTAGTTTAACAATGAAAAATAGATGAAAATTTTTAAAATATCAGTTGCAAAAGATCCTAAAATCAATTTTGGTCGGGATAAATGAACCTGCACTTACAAAGTAAATAGCTGCTGCCGAAAAGAGGTGGAAGAACATAGAGCAGACGCAGAGGCCGTAGGACCAGGAGATGAAGTTGTACTGCGGGTACATCATCCAGTCCCTGCGATACGCCTCTCCTCCGAAAATGCAAACGGCCAAGAACAGGAAAAACCCTGGGGAATAAATTTTCATATAATTTTATCCTCTGCTGCATCAATGCAAAATTTTATTTTAATTTACCACTGGCCACTTGGCAAATGAAGCAGATTCCCGAAAGCAGCCATTCGTATTCAAGAACGAGACGCAGAGGGTAGCGACAGACAATTGCGGCAATCATGATTTGGGCGAACAGGGAGATGATCAACGCCAGGGTCACACAGGTCTGGACGACCATCAACCAACCTGAGAAAAAAATTCATAAATACAAAATCACTCTGCTTGGGAATATTATATTCACAATTTTATAAATAGTCAAAGGAAAAGTCAAGGCTTTTAAATTTTAACTTTGCGAAATTTGATAGTTTGCACCCTTTGTCAGGCAAGATATTAAAACGCAGGAAAAAACTAGCTGTTTTTAACAGTCTTTTTAGGACTGGTTTCCAAATAAGAATTCAAAACAACCGGTCTTGGAAAATAAAGAAATGGTAAAAACCAAGAGATAAAATTTTAATTTAATAAATGCCTATTTTATTAAAATTTTGTTCTATGATATCGACGGAAGTTTATTTATGTAATTGAGAATTTGACATTATTGTTTTTAACCCTGCATAAATCAAGTCACAGTGAAGAAAAAAGAAATAGAAAAATGATTTGAAGTATGAAAAATTATGTACTTCAATTTAGTTCTTAAAAATTTATAACTTTTTCCAGAATTATTTTCTTTCTACAGATTTTAATTATTTTTTATTCTTCCATTTAATTTTCAAATATTTGTTTCTATTTGATTCATAATTATTTACCGGGCACAAGCCACTCTCTGATGAGGTAAAGCTCCTGACTGAAAATCCAGTTGCATCCGTCGAAGAGGTGGTCGAACTGGTAGTTGGGGAATCGGAATTGGTCGAAACAATATTCCCAGAGGCCCATGTTTTTGAACGAGCTGAACGTTTCATCGAAACTCTCGAGCCAGTACGGACTGCAAACGAGACAAAAGGGTAAAAATTCATGCTCCGCTGGAGTAGAAACGAAGACGACTCATAATTTAAGTCGGAAAATAGATAATATTTCACCTGGCGAAAGCGATGAGCAGCAAAAGTCCGGCAAAGTAGGCCAACAGTCCACCGTACACCATGGAATCTGCAATAATTTCGTACGAAGTGAAATCAAGCGTGTGTACGAATATGGACAGTGTGTGTAAACAAATCGACAAGTGTGTATTCGGGCGTTGGGTCGACGCCCTGCGATTCGGAAAGATTTCATACCTGAGGCCTTCGGGTACTCTTGCTTGTTGCTGCTCGCGTTGTCGCTCATTATGAGTGAGGAATTTGATCAGTTTTCGAGCGAAATCAAAATAATTCAAGCCGAAAGAAAGGTGGAAAAACGTATTTTTCCAGAGGAGCGCTTGTTGTCATCAAACGCCGAGCGCCGAGCTGGGTAGGGCTGGTTTGGCGAATGCGCCGTTCGTGGCGCCACCGTCGACGGAGGGAAAAGAAAGACGAGCCGCCGTTCTGCCCCACGACGATAACTGTAGTTCATTAATTTTGTAGTGGAACGCACTTTAGGCTCGAGTGCATTATTATTTGGCTAAGTACGGTCGTCTAAACTGTCAACCCTATCGTCCAGAGATGAGTTACGAAACGTCCGTAAAACGACCTCAAGTTGCTACACTCAAAACATAAAACCCTAAAAATAAATTATATAATCATAAAAAGTTTTTTAATTAAAAATAATGTTGGGGAAAATGTGTAGTATTATGTTGGGATAAATATGATATAATTTTAATTATTTCGCAAAGTGACGCAAAGAAAAGTTTTAGTTAATAGTATATGAGTTTTGTAAATTTGCTACTTTGAGCAAGGAAATATGGATTTTATAAATTTAAAGCATTTTTATTCATTAATTATCAAATTTCATAATATTCTATATAAATTGAATAATTATTGATAAAATGAAAATGAGGTATTCTTTTTTTTAATTCTGACATGGAACTAATCAAGTTTTCAAAAAAATATCCTATTAAATATTTGTTACAATTATTTTTTAGTTTTTTATTTGGCGCATTCGTATTGATATTTTTTTTTTAATTTTACAGAGAAAATTTGGGTCTCAAGGTTGTATATTAAATTAAATAAGCTGATTATTCGCAATTTAATACAAATTTCTCAATGTTTATTAGTAAAAAACATAATTATTGCTTTACATACACGTTGAACAATAGAATTATAAACTAAAATTTTCGTCAACAAATAAGTTGTGATTCAAAACGTCTCCCTTTTACTTAGTTTCTACAAACATTTCTTCTGAAAAATGGACGGTTTGTTTTCAATCTTCAAGTTTCTCCCTGGTTGCTCAAGGAATGATATATAATAAAAAATGTATTCACACTTTCACTGTTCAGTGAGTCACTGATGGACGGATGAGTAATTTTTACTGGTGGCGCATTTTCATGCCTTTTATCTAGCTTTAGCCAGCACACACAAAAAATAACTTTTGTCTGCCTTTTCAAAGGTATCAGCAGCACACGAAAGCAGGTCATTTGCATGCCTGGAATGTGGTTCACCTTCGAAAATGTTTCCTGGACGGAATATAATTTAATTTTACAAAATGGAATGGTTTAACTAGCTTAATTTACTTACTTAAAATATCATGAGAAAATGAACACTGAGTTAACAAAGAAAATCAACCTAAGCTTATGGAATTTGAACTGAATCGTTTTGCAAAATAATGCTGAGGTTCAAAATTTTTGAAGAAAACTCAATAACTTTTGATTACCGAAACTGAGATGGAATAAACTTAAAGGGTCTGAAAACCTTCAAAAATTTAACTGGTATTGTTAATGTTAAGATCTTGATGGACTAACATTTTTATGAAATAATTTTTGGAGTCAGTTATACTTGCAAATTTCCCATGCAAAATCCATGCATTGTAAACATTTTAAGTAAATTTTCGACCAAAAATTAAAATTATTGATGTAAAAAAAAAAAAAAAAAAAAAACGTTAGACTTGACCCACAAAGAAAATTAAAATATCAACCACAATGAAAATTTGCTCTTCTGAAAGTTTCCATTCCCTTTAATACAGAGCTTATTTCTACTTTTGAAGATCGGTTGAGGACAAAGTGGAGATTTGTCGTACGGGTGCGTTAACATTGTGCGTATTCACTGCAGGTTTGCCGAAATCAGTCGCTAATTCAGGATCATGGCCACTTCTCCTACGCCTTGGTCTCCTCTATGCTGAACCTGGCCTGCGAGTCCCTCAGGTCGCGCGCCTTTCTCTTCTGGATGCTCGTCTCGATCAGGAACAAAGTTCCGGCCACGATCGAAGCGAAAACTCCGGCCACGGCCAGTGCGAATGACCAGCCAAAGAAGTTGTTGCGCTGACCTGGCATCCAGCCCTGTCTGTTTGCCAAACTTGCAAAGACCACCACTGCTATCGCTGCACTAAAGCCTGAAGAAAAGAAAGAAAAAAATTCTAAATTTAAACAGAATTAATTCATTTAATAAAAAATTTAATCTCATATTTTAATTCAACACAAATAAAAATTAAAAAAGATCTTAAGGTCTTATGTTTTGAATTTATTTGTTAAAACTCTTGCAAAATGCTAGGAAATTTAAAGCAAGTTCCAAAATTTCAAAGTTATAAAAAAAGTTCCTTAAAATAACAAAAATAAAAATTTGGTGCTCTAAACAGTAAATATACTAGCTGTTGTCACACTGCCTAAAAATTACACAATTCTGATATTTTCACCGCTAGCTTGTATTGTTTAAATGACACAAATATTTTTGGACACGATTTTGGCTCACAGGCAGTGAAGTTCGTGATTTTCAGCAAGTTTCTTAAAAAGTCCAGAAGAAAAATAAATTCAGGCTCCGACAATAAAAGAAATTCCTTTTACGTCCATATTTTTTAACTTTACTTTTTGTATGCCATAAAATTAAACCGGTCTGGAAAATTAATTTTGATTATTTTGAATTGTAATTTAATTCCATTTTGTTTGATAAAATAAAATATCCAATTAATTATCTTTTAATTTATGAATAAAATTTAAAAAAAAAACTCACCAGCTGCTAATAGGTCCAGTCCAATAATTGCAATCAGTTTCACATATCTTGATTGGTCAGGTCCACAACAAAGCCCATACAAGAGGCAGAGGCCAAATGCGACGAGTGTTAAAATAAATGCCACCGTGTAGAAAAACTGCGTCGCGATTATGAAAGCTGAAATTTTTTTATTTTTTAATTTTTTTTATTTTCTAATTTTTTTTCAAACTTACGAGGAAGAAGGAATCCCCTGATCTTGTCGTAGCCGGTGGTGAAGGGGTCGTAAATCCACCTGCAGCCGACGAAGAAGCGTCTTTGGTACTCGTCGGTGGGGTCAGGCAGCGACCTGAAGCAGTGGGCCCACAGACCGAACCTCTCAAGTCGCGCCCCTGTAATTCGGTAGTCGCTGACGATCCAACTGGGTGAGCAAAAGGCCACGAACACGCACACGAACGTCAGGGCAAAAACCGCCAAGGCGCAGTTTCCCGCGAGGCTTCTCTTTTTAGCCATCGCTGCCTGCAATCAATTCATTTAAATTTTCAATACAGAGAGATAATTTAAGTAATGGTAATTAAAAAGCGAGCTAAAAGTAAAATTAGGCAAGTTGAGCACACCAAAACAGCAGCAGGAAGACGAAGAAAAATTATGGAGTTTTATTGAGAAAAAAAAATAAAAATGAATAATTAAAATAGAGCAAGCTTTAGAGCGTTTAACCAAATCTGCTAGATGTTTCCCCCACTTTAAATATTTATAAACTACTTCTAAGGAAAATAAATATTAGTACTAAAAGCAAGTAAAATTAAATAAATAAAAAACTTATCCTATATGATCTGTTGTGATCAAATTAAACTCGAAATCAATCAATTTTTTGTAGATCTTTCAAAATCTTTACAAAATAATGAATTTAAAACCGTAAAAGCTTTAATGAAATGACTTTAAATATATGGTGATTTGAATTTAAAACCCATCGAGGAAAAGCCAAATTTTAAATTCAAATCACCATGAATCAACCCTTGATCGTGAACTTCTACTACAAAAAAAAAAGACTTTAAATAGTTGAAGCTTCAAATTTTTTACAGAATTTACCTTATAATTTTACAGACAAAGTAAAACAAAGGTTGTTTAAATTATGTATTCAGAAAACATTTCATTTTTAATCAATAAAACTGAATTTTAAAAATAAATTTACAAACTATATTCGTCGGCTACGCGGACAGATGGCCAGTCCGTCGCTCCGCTTTTTGACACAAATGGCCACTAGCCATTTGCGCCGTTGGAACAAATGGCCACTCGACAGCTTTTCCAATTTTACAGGAGAAGCAAAAAACTGATTATCTGCGAGAATGTTGAGATTTCAGAATCCACTTTTTAACTCAAGGTTAAGGATGATATTGAAATTAAATTAGTGAAAAAATTATTCCAAAAAACGAAAAATCACCGCTGATATGAAAATAAAGGCGAAATCGGAGCCGCTGCTGCGGAGCGGCTGGTTGACACAACAGTGGCGCCCCGTCAGTCGAGGTGTCGCGAAGAATGCTCGTTGTGATAGACGTTTGCGCGAATGCAATATTTTTTTAGAACGCGTTAATTTAAATTATTTAAAATTTCAGCGTTGATTCATAATTAGATAATTAAATTTTTGATTTGCTAGTTTAAAATAAATTCCGTCTGGGAGAGGAGTTATTATTGTTTCCGCGAGAATTTTGTTCCATCAATTTTAAAAATAGAGAAAAGCTTAAAACAATATAAACCTTTATAGAAAAATGTTGCCAATTAAATTTCCTACAATTTCTTCCATTGGCTTAAAGGTGTCAGAAATTTTTCCACTTATGTACGTAAGGCTAAAAGTCAAAATATTATTTTTATTCATAGAATAAAATTTTTTAGAATTTTTTTGAGATAGCCAATCGATTGGAAATTTAATTTTAAATCTAGCCTCCAAATAACACCAAAAAATATTGAGCCGTTTTTAAGTTGCACTTTGCTTTCTCGTGAGCGCTCTGACGGCACCCTCGTCTTCAAAAGCAGTTTGAAGGGTGATCACATTATTATATTCTTATTTTAAAATGGCTCAATATTTTTAATAACGAAGGTGAAAATTTAATTTCCAATCGATTGGCTATCTCGAAAAAATTTAAAAAAAATCTTATGCTATAAACAAAATATTATTTTGACTTTGAGCCTTCCGTATGTAAGTGGAAAAATTTTTAACGTTACTAAGCCAATGAAAAAAATTGTAGAAAATTTAATTGGCAACATTTTTCTGTTTAGGTTATTATTTTTTATAACTTTTCTCTATTTTTAAAATGGACGGAAAAAAATTCTCGCGGAAACATTAATACCTCCGCTCCTAGACGGAATTAATTTTAATCTAGCATTATCAAAAAATACATGATTAAATTGAACTTCATCGCTGAAATTTTGAATATTTTAAATTCACAAGTCCTAAAAAAAAAGATTGCATTCGCGCAAACGTCTATCACAACGAGAGCATCCTTTGCAACACTTCGTTTGATTGAGTCCGTCCATTTGAATTAGTAATTAACTAATAATGAGATTTTACTTCTAGAAAATTGTAAAATATTTTAATATTTATTATACATTTTTTCAAGATTTTTTTTATTATTATCATTTTTTCCAATTTTAACATTAAACGCATTAAAAGTATTTATTCATATTATCCGGCGATATGGGAAACCACATGAGGGGGCGTGGCTTTCATGGCACTTCTTGCTTGCGGGCTCAACAGAAGAGCCATCTACGGGTAAAGTTGGTACTTTTAGCGTGTGGGCTGATGCATTTTGACTTTTTGAACATATTCGCGCAGAAAAAAAAATTTTCTCCGGAAATGCGAATTGGCCATTTGTACCAACGGCGCAAATGGCTACTGGCCATTTGTGTCAAAAAGCGGAGCGACGGACTGGCCATCTGTCCGCGTAGCCGACGATATCATTATTTTTTTAATTTATAATTTCATTATTTTTTTACTTTTATTTACCAAGACTAATTTTAATGTTAATTATATAATAATAATATTTTTTTATCTTTAAATTTTATGGTGATTTGCTTATAAAGTCGGAATTGAAATTTTAATCTATTTTGGTTAAAATTTTACTATAAAATTTTTAAATGCTGCCTCCTCCAATTATTACTTAATTAATATTCAATAGAAATAATAATTAGTCCTCGTCAGTTGACAGTTGGCGATGAATTGCAATAATCTTATGTGATTCATAAATAGTTATTTGAAATGCAATTAAATTTATAAAATTTCCTTTGGCCAATGTTTCTCAATATGGAGTATGCTTATCACTAAATCAGAAAAGCAAAGCCTTGGTATTATTAATATTACAAACCGAGCAACCATTTAAGCTCTTTAAAAAAATGAAGCGTTCTCTCGGCACCAAAAATCCCAAATTGTCCCAGACGAAAAGGCCAAATTGGCTCTCAAACCTGTTGGAGGGCCCTGAGAGCCGCGCCTCGCTACAGCCCTGCTTTTTTCTAAAATACGCAACACGACGAGCTCACTGAAACAAAGCGCGACACAGACTGCTGCTTTTACATACGATTTTTCTCTTGGTCGGGAGCGTCAAATTTCGGGCCATGGTATTAATTGCCAGGGTGTCAAAGGGCTCGGATTGTTCCGCTCGACAAACAAACGCACACTGCGAGGTGCCAATTGAAAACTCACCTTCGCGGGTGGTGCTCGGTAGGTCTTCACCTGTCTCTCCACTTTTGCTGATTGTGCTTCCCCTTATCCAAGCGGAAAAGCTGCACCGCTACTTTTCCTTCCGATGTGGGGCAATTTTGATAAGCACTGTTTTTTTTCTTTCTCAAATTCGAGAGTGGCTGGCAGGTGCACGCCCTGTCGCTGTGTTTGGCTTTGCCTGAGTCACGACGTGCAGCGCCTCAGTGGAACATTCCGCAGTTAATGTTAATTAAGTAGAGGCGGTGGGTAGGCCTACGCAGTCGGTTAAGCGAAGCTCAGGTGCGAAAAGGTTACCTCTCTTTTTTACCTGCCGAGACTCGCATGTGCCGCGCTTGCTAATTTTGCAGAAACCGCCGGTGGGAATTCGTTTTTCCCACAAAGATTGGTAAAATGATGTGAAGTCCCCGCGCAATTGTCTTTAACTGAGGCAATCCTGACATTTAATATGGGTCACTAAGTATAAGGCTCCGTCAGAATTAATTAAATTATTATCAACAGAGACGATATTCTTTGAGAAGTAACGCAAAAACGAGATAATGATAAGCACACAAAAATTAATTAAAATTTTAAAGAATAAAATAACAGATTTAGTTAAAGTTTTAATTTATTTTATTTACCAAAATCAACTTTCTCGCAACAAATACAAATATTGGGTGCAGATCAAAAACTTGATAATAGTATTTGAGTAAATCCTATTCTATAGAGAATAATTTCTTTACAATTAAGTTGATATTTCATTTAAAGATGAGAGGACGGATTAATCGATTTCAGTTCTTATAGCATATAATTTTTAATTGCATTTTTCTGTGTATCTCTTCAACTGTTCATTTTTTTCTATTTTCTACTTTTTAAGCCCAGACAAATGGCAGCATTGTGTGAGACAAGGAAACATTTTTTTCCTTGAAATATCATTAGGCACTTTCACTGAGCTACATTTTTTTACTCTAAATCAGATCTTCACTCCGAAGCAAAACATGCTAATGCTAAACTGACCAATGTCAGGACAAAATATCAAGAAAGTTTACAAATTGTGCACTTCACATTAAAAAAAAAATGCTCTCCATTACAATGGCGTGGGACGTTTTGCCAGCCAGTCTCTGAAAAAGTAAAAACCAACAATGGACGGATTTTAGGTCACAGAGTAGCCGCTTAAATAACAATGCGCACACTTGATACAATTATCATGCAAGTGTTGCATCTCCCAGCCTTAACCTTAGGTGAGAAAAAAGTAGGTAAACATGCAATTATGCTGCTTTCTGCAAAAATAATGTACAAAATTAAGCTGCTTGTGTAATATAACCGTCGAGATGGAAGGTCAATTCAGACGTTTCATAAGTTAAATATATAAATTGAGATTCAACTAGTCGAAATATCCAAAAAATTATCAATGAGATTACAAATTGTCAAATCCTAACTGGTCGGGGTACATATTTTTATATACAAAAGATTGGAATGCGATTATTTTTTTCGAGATAAAAATCTTATCCCAGGCCATAAGCAGCCCTCCTTTGCCTTTCGCGCCTGTTCTTGGCCCTGTAAACTCGAGCCTCTGCGTAAATCTGGGCAGTGGCGATCCACATGAGCAGGACACTCACAACGGCCAGTGCGTAGGACCAGCCGATGTAATTGTGCTCCCAGTGGGGCATCCAGTATCTGCTGTCGCCGTAAGCTCCGAAAATCACCACTGCGATTGTGCCGCAAAAAGCTGAAAATGTTAACCAAATTTAAGAAAAGTTAAAACCAAATCCAAAGTTCTTATACCTGAAAAACCAGAGCATCCGGAAACGACGTAGAGTAGGGTGGCCATGTGAGGGTCATCATCGTCGGTGAAGATGTATCTTGCCAGGAACAACAGACAGATCAGTAGGAATGTGAGGCAGAAGGTGAAGAAGGTTTGGGTAGCCACGAAGAAACCTGTAAAATAACAAGAAGAAAATAGTTGAAATTTCTACAATGCAACATTGAATTCATGTTTATAGCAAAGTGGGGGGAAATATTTTTTACATATATATAAAAAGCAAAAGTGAACTTTAAATTAAAAAAATTAAAATTTTTTTAATTAAAGAAATTAAGAAACATATTGTTAATGCAGATGATAATAATTAATGCATTCAAGATTTTAAATAGCCATATTATTTTATAATAATACTTAAACCTGATAAAATAAATTAGTTTTTATAATTTATGACTTAATTTATAATTTCTAACATTTTATTTTTTATTAATATTGTAGTATTATTTTTATTTCACTATAAAGAAAATATAAAATGTGCAATTCATTTAATTTTAAAAGAAGAGTGAATAAAATTATATATTTCCCCAGTTCACAAATATCACTATAGTAATGTGATGATAACAAGAATTGTAAAGTCTCAGTGCTGGAGATATTCATTTATAACTCAAATATTTTGAACTGCTAAGTTACTATAGAAAGAAGTAAGAAATTATTGAGTGGCAAAGGTATTAAAATATTAAAAATTAAAAAAAAATACATTCAAATTATTAGCTTCTGTTTAAAACTGTGTAATTGGTGTAATTGACATTATTTATTTAAATAATAATTAAAATCTAATTCTATTAACTTATTCTCTACTTTTTTCGTAAATAATTTTATGATTTTGCAAGTAAGTCAAATTAAAATTAACTTTGGAGAAAAAGTTGATCTCTGACATACCAGGTAGCAAAAAGTCATGGATGATGTAGTATTCCTCCTCGAAGACCCACCAGCAGCCGGTGAACTTGGTGTCGTACCAGTGGTGCGGCTCCTCGAAGTTCTTGAAGCACACCTGCCAGAGCCCTGCACAGCCCAAAATAAAATCAAATTTGGCCGAAAAAACCACCTGTTTGGGGGCTGTTGGGGGCCACGCCTAGGCGCTCAAACATACCGATACGTTGGAAGGTGGCGTCCGGAAGTTGGCCGTCGTTTTCCAGCCAGCACGGCGTCGAGAAGGCGATGATGACGAGCAGGAAGCACACCAGCAGCAGGCAGCTCGCGATCAGCATGTTTTTCTCGCGGTAGCCCATTTTCGGGGGCCGTTTTGGGCTTCGGATGTAGGAGGACCACTGCTTTCCGCTGGAATTTGTTTGGCTCGCTGCTTTCGGAGCTTCGGAACAGGTGGCGCACAACGGCAGTGCTGCGATGCGGGTTGCGTCGACCAGCACACAGGCGCTCACTATAAAAGCCCACCACTATAATAAAAATGATAAAATAAGGAAAACTAGAAAATCTTCTATTCGTAATGGCAGTACAAATTATAAATTAACTTTAAACTGTTTTAACATATTTTATTAAATAAATAAAAATAGTGAACGTTATTGAAACTAATTTAATTTTTATTTAATAAATTTAATTATTTCATATATTACTTTTAAATATACAACTATATATTTAAAACCTTCTGGATTGATCATATTTTTGTGTGATTATAGTTTGTTATTTTTAGATCTTAAAGATTTCAATAATTTTCTCGAAATATACAAAATTAATTTAATGGATCTTCCCATGTATTGGCACCTTTAGATCAAGTATTTATGCAAAATCTGAGAGTTGTGAGTAAATGCGTAAAATATTATAATTTTCTATTGTTTCTACTTGTAAGACTATTGACTATTTTAGATTATTAGACTATTCAAGGAATAAACTTTTCTACTTTTCCTTTTTATACTATTGCAGTTGCTGTTTAAAAATATTATTAAATAATTAATCTGTTACTTACAAAAATGAAAAAAAAGAGTAGAAAATGTGTCACAATCTCTTAAACTATGAAGAAATAAAAAAGAACGTTTTAAAAAGAAAAATATCAGGAGCTCAAAACCTTTTTTTAATTTATTAAAAAAAATCTATAGTAATGAATTTTGGCTTTTTAGTCACTTATATCTTATAGTGCTTTAAAAACTCATTATCAGTGTATCCAAGATTGAAGTAAAAACAAAAAAATGCACAAGTAAAAATTTGTTTGATATTAGATGGCTCCCACCTTTCATAGATTTTAAAGATAAAATTAAAAATTTACTGGAGTTTATAATATGTCAATTAAACGTTTTTATGGGTTTTTTTCTGCACGCTTTTTCTGGCGGAAAACAATTAATTGAACTAAATTAGTTTAATTATAACTTTTTTGATACCATTCGGTGAAAGATAGACAGAAAAAGGACAATTTTGAGGTGATCATCTTAATTAAGTTTTGCACCCCACTTTATCCACGCCTACACTGGCCTGCACGATAAATTGATTTCTTGGAATGAAAACTCGATCGCCAAATAAAACACCTGCCTGCATTTGCCAAAATTGAATTGGGTTTCCAGAAGTCTCCGCGCCGCGTGTGTATTTCTTTCCCTTTTTCTTTATATATCAAAAGTTTTAATCGTAGCCATGGCGATCAGTCAACAAAGTGTGCGCCTCTGTGGTGCGCCCGTCATTGCGGCCCCCGCAAGTTCAAATTGAATTCTTTGATCAGTTGGTCCTCGACCGAGGCAAGGAGCCATGGACGACCGCACGGTGGACAGGATTTTTGCGGGCTCGCTCGAGCACCGCCTGCCACCCGTCAGCTCCAAGATTGTGCGCATCTTCACCAGTTCCACTTTCACAGGTGCATTTCCTCGAATTTTATTACCTTGTTTGCACACTGAAAGGGGTCCGAACGTAATTTAGATCAAACTTTTCAAGGGGAACTAAACTGCCATGTGTTATGAATTGATGAAAGTGGAAATGTTACTATATTTTCTTTGAATCTCCTTCTTAAATTTGCATAGTTGCTTTAATGAATGTTAAATTTGGAATATAAATCATTAATAATAAGAATTATAATTTTAAATCACTATTAAAACCTTCTAATTATAAATTTATGTTTTTTTCTTCAACTCGTAGTTTTAATTTGATTTCTTAATTCATACAAACTTTATAATGCATAGATTTTCTCCAACAGGACTTTATAAATAGACCTAATTTTTTTCATTAGAATTTAATTTCGAAAGATTTAAAATTTGTTTTAAATTAGATTGAATCAGAAATGCAAAACCATATCAAACTATAATAATTAGTAGCTTAAAAAGATTTTGTTGATCTTGAATTAATTTTCTGTTCAAATTAAATTGCTGACAGACACTGGAATGGAGAGGAACACTCTGATGGCGCAAGTGTATCCAAAGCTAAAAGATTACTGCAGAGAAAAGCACGGGCTAGAATTTCAGG